GGATCCTCGAGCGATGTTCGGCGGGGGACAATTTATACCTGTCATGCTGATGGCAGCGTGTATCTCTTCTCATCCATTTCATTGCTTTGATACAAAACATTTGAAAAATAAAATAAAAAGTATAATATCATGCGAACCATTTCGAGTATGCGCATTCAAACGGAGAGGTGGATAAAAGAAATCTTGGAATAAAAAGGGTTTCGAATAATTTGTGCTGTGTATAGTAGGAAAAAAAATCCGTCATCGTCCTCCTTTCAATATCATCAGCCTTTCTTTCTCTTTCGACAAATGACGAACCAGCAATGTCTTTACTCGAGAAATGATTAATTTTAATGCGAAGGAAAATAAAAGGAAAGGTATACAGTGCCAAAACCAATTTACGGGGACGTCGTTTGTTGTTTTGGAGCAAAGAAACATGAAGATGGAGTTCATGGTTCGCGTTCTTAGAAAGAAACACTTTAAAAGAGTTACAACGTTCTACGAAATAATAATAAAAAATGTTCTTCTGGAGTATAGGTTCTTCTTTCCCGTTGGGAATTTATTTCTGGAACACGGGTTTTTCATAAAGCATCCAGGCAGGGATTGTGTGGCAATAGATTGTCTTATAACATGATGAAGATCGATTCTCGTGTCTCTGCTCTGGCTTCCGCAGCTGCACACAAGTAAATCAGGGCTTCTTGCGGCTCGGGAATATTCCGTCGGTTGCAAGTTACACCTCATTTTTCTCCGGTTCAATCAATTAGGAAACCTATAGGGGAATTACGGAAGGAGGTCTGATTATTAATTGAAGAATCACTGCTCTGAAAGTGACGCGTTTTAAATCCATCTTCCCGCTTTCTTCTGTTCATCGTCCTAAATTCGAGGAATTTTACAAAAACGAAAACCGCTGAAATGTGCATAATTGTTCTTCGAAAACTTTCGCAAAAATTAGAGAAGAAGTTCGGCTTTTTAAAGCAAAATAAATCATCTGCAGGGGTGTGGATGAAACATATTTTCATTTGTTCGAAAAGATCGACTATCGTTGGTCAGTGAGAAGAATGATTCAATTTTTACGCGGATTTAACGATGATAAGCTGTCTATTTGAAAAAAATAAAAATATATTTCGCCACCCTTGCAGGTGATTTATTTTGCTTTAAAAAGCCTAACTTCGTTCCCGATGATTTTTACAAAAGTTTGCGAAGAACAACGATTCATATAGCTTAGATTTTCGTTTTTGAAAAGCGGAATGATTCATTTGCAAGGGTGGCGAAACATATTTTTACTTTTTTTCCTATTTTATTAGATAGATTCTTATTGATTGGTGAGAAGAATAATTCAACTTTCATGGATGGATTGATGAAAATCTGTGTATTCGAACCAAATCAAAAAATATTTTGTTACATTTCGGATCTTGCTTCATTACGAAGCAGAACTTCATCCACGATTTTTGAGAAGGCATTCGAAAAACAATTATGCATATTTTCGGTTTTCGTTTTTTTGAGCGAAATGAATAATATCTGCAAGTGTGGCGAAATATATCCTCATATTTGATCGAATAGACAGATTATTGAGAGGGATGATTCGATTTTCACGCATCGATCGATGATATCAATGAATCTAATTATTTAATGTGATCGAATAGAGTCAATAGACAAATTATCGTTGATGGGTGAAAAAAATTATGACATTTTTACGATCCAATCGAAGATATTAATGATTATAACTAGTCTTTCTTCGCAAATGAGCCTTCGAAAATTCTCCCGGGAGGATGACCGACATTTTCACAACAAAACCCAGGCTAACTTGTTCGTGGCGAGGTATTTTTTCATTGATTGCCATGAAATCATAGCCATCACGACCCAATGAAACTTGGGGAAAACTAGCTCCTCGTCTCTCTCACTGTGTGTACACTTAACGTCATGGTTTCACGCGATTTACGAGGAACCTGAATACTACAACGAAGACGACACGCGGGTCCTGGGAAAGTGAACGGCGAGTGCGAATAAATCAAGCACGAAATCTCATAACTCATCACGAAACTGGCTGGAGGAGACCCTCGGAGCTGCGGAAAAAAGAGCGACCTAATTGATCCCTACTTGAAAATCGAAATTTTGATGGAGCTTCTTGGAATAGCCATTAAATTCGTTTAATCAGAAATATAGCTTTTAATGAGCACTTATGTCATCACAATTCTGATGTTCATTAAGCAAACCAACATCTGTTGGGAGGTGTGCTTCGAGTATTTTAACACGTGCATTGTATTTTTGCGAGTATCTGCAGAGGCTCGATACATTTTCGGTTTTTTTTTTTTTACAAAGTAACCGAATAATAAAAAAAATCACATATCACAGTTTTTCATTCGAGCATATTTCGGCTCTCTCTCTCTCTCTCTCTCTCTCTCTATCCATCTCTCTCTCTCTCTGTCTAAAAGAAAAATTCTGCAACGATTCTGTCAGTGAAATGATTTTTGGTGGCCCCATACAGGGTTCTTCTCATATTACAAGGATAATCTGCAATGACATTCTCTCCACGGTAAATTATTTTTCGAAGCCCTGATTACACCTGTATTGAATTCTGTTGCATATTATGCTTTATTTAATTGCAAACGAAAGGGAAATCTGAGAATAAACCATTTACTAGAAAAAAGTACATATTTTATGACTGAAAGAGCGCTTTACTCAATTTGTCAAGAGGAAACAAACTTTAAAAAGAGAGTCGAGAATTTTAACTCGTATACATTTTTCGGGGATTATAATTCGCATTAATGCTTGTCATTTCAATGCGTCACATTTTTATACGAAATACCGAACTCGCCGAATATTTGTGTTTCCAGATTTATTCGGTGGATCAATGCAGTGAACGTGAATATTTTATGTAAAACTATACTCATATCTCCGGGCCTTGATTTTAAACCTCTTGGCTACATTATGCAAATTAATCTCGGTACTACGGAAACTCGTCAACCTCGTATTTGAAGTCCATCTGTATCTTCGATGTATATTCCTGGACACGTGGTGAGTGAAGTTCCACACATCTCCTGCTCAATATTCGAGGACGGATGCTTTCAATTTATGGTCAGGACAATGCATCTTCAATGTGCGAACCCGCTGTGGAATGCAGAATAGGCCGCTGCTCATTTCCAGTATGATGGCGGCAGCCAGTTCAAAAGATCAACAAAATTCGAGGAAAACATGTAGTGTACAATATATATACAGTATATATATTAAAGGATGAAATATGCTTAAAAGAGTTGGCAAGCTTCGGAAAGACATGACCGACGTCTGGATAATGGCAGGCTTCCTTGTGTCACGGTTAAAGCCCCCGATCAAGGCAAGACCCGGGGACATTCATCATATGCATACGTCAGGGAGACCCTGATGTTGCTGCTCATGCAGTTCTTCCATCTCAGTCCCGAATACGTATATCCTTCTCCCCCTTTCCTTTTGAGTTCAAGGAAATTAAATGCATAAAAAATAAAAATGAGCGTGCAAACAGGAACAGAAGCATGGATTTGCCTGCGATGCCGTTTCAAACCCAGTTCGACGTGTGACATCAAACATCGCGTCCGACGAAATCTCGACGCTTCACTGATTTTTTCTTCCTGACGCTGTTTGCATGGCAACGATGCAATGTTATCGTATTTTCCTGTCCCCCTGTTGACCTCGAAAGAATTTTTCTCAGCGAGATCTTTCCGAGGTCTACCAATTCCTCAGAACAGAAAACGATATTTTTGCATTGCAAAAATAAGTAAAAAAAAAGATTCGAACCAATCTTATGAAATTTCCGATTTCAAAAATTTTAAGATGGCAGTTCTCGAAAACTAGTTATATTCAAAATATGATATTTCGAGTAAGCTAGCTTCCGCTTTGAATCGTGTGCTGCAAAAAAACAAAAAAAAAATCATCGACCGACGTTCCACTCACCTTCTAGAAAGTGGAAAGATTCTTCTGCTAATTAAGCCTGAAGAAGGAAGAAAGAAAAACTTCCAAAAATAACGGGGAGATTTTTACGACGCATAAGAAATTATGTCCAAGCGTCATCGTGATTTTAAATTATGAATTTGTAACTTTCAATGCAATGATAGTGCATAAGTTGAAAAGTCCATTGTTTCTCGGGCAATTTTTTGCGTGCTGTAAAAATAGTATGAGAAGTAAGCATCGGTTATAGCACACCATCCGTCGTTTTTCTGATAATCTTGGTTGTGATCAAGTAATAAGCTTTATTTTCCAGGCACATACATGAAGATGTGAATTCTTCATGAGAAAACACACTTCTTCCATTTTCCATCTTCAGAGTTCGTCAAATATCCTGTTTCCGAATTTCAATTGCGTATGTGATAGTTAAAGAAGCTGTCAATATAACACGTAGAATTGAAATAATCTCCGACCTCTGGAATGTACTGGAAATTAGTACAGAAGCATTTTACATAACGCGGTCCGTGTGACATTGATTCTCCAGTTTTCTTGCGTCTCGATTTTAAAAATACGATATGTAGCTCCAAAATAGCATAAGTTTATTCAAAAGTGATATTAAATTTCTCCGAAACATGTAAAGTTCAAATTCATATCTTTAAAAAAAAAAGGTATTTCTCTTGCCTGCTGTCTTTAGACAATCCTCGTTGCAAATTAGAGCAACAATTATAATTACACATTGCACTCCTCGTGAGAATACTTTTTAATGTTCGAGGAATTTTACGGAGCGGGATCATTCTTTGATAGAATAATTCCACGATTAATCCTTTGAAAGCCTCAAATCCATCATTGTTTACTTTTCATCGACCAGATAACTTAAAGAGAATGATGTACATTCCGAGAAAATGAACGAAAATTTCTCATCACCTTTCGTTTTGGGCTAAATGCTTTTCCATGATTTTCCAAAAAGCAAGGACACCTATACTGGGTGTTTCAAGGTACAGTTTTGTTAGACCACCGCAGAAGAACCTATTACGTTTCTCACATTTCCGTATTCAACATTGCGTGTAAAAAAAATAGGACGATCGTGTTCACGAAGAACGCCGTAATTGCGTGGGTCGCAGAAAAATGTCTTTATTACTGCTATATAGAAACCAACAGAATCATCGATTTAGTGCGCATACAACATCACTCACACACAGACACATCACACTCGAGTGGGGATTTTACGCTTAAAAAACGAAGGAGGTTCCATGAATGGCTCAATTTTTCTCGTTTCTCCGCACAGAAACATTGAACAAAATTTTTCTTCGGCAGAGAGCGGAAATTGACAGGTTCCGCACCCACACGTCGGGGTTCATCTCGATCGCGGATATTGATTTCCGGTGTTGCCTGACCAAGAAAGGGAAAAAAAAACTGGGCCATATAGCCTCAGTTACGCTTCTTTCGCTGGTTTACAGCCTGGACCAGTCCCCGGACATTGAAGATGTCGGCGTCGGTCTGAATGGTCTTCCTTCCGGCGCCTCTTCCTGTCGATAGAAAGCAAACAAATCAGCGCAGTACTACACTGCTGCTGATGGGGGCGTTTTATTCTGGGTTCGATTTATTTTCGTGGTTCGTCGAATTGCTTGTACTGTACTGCACTATTCCCCCAGGAAGGCCGCTTTTAGTATCCGCTACATTGAGACACATAATCGTGTTGCAAAAAATATAAATAAAATTGCAAGGATTATTTTTAGAGAAGGGAAGAATGTGCGTCCAGTGAGTCGAGAAGTACTCGTATTATTCATACCTTCCAGCAAAATTTGTAATTGCTGAGACAAATGAAAATTAGCTATAAACGAATTCAGGCAAACGTCAGAGGATTAAAATGTGAATTTTTGAAGTCCAAACTGATGAAGCTCTTGTGTGATATTGAGGTTTGTGATGAAGCCAGAGGAAGAAATTTTTCAGAAATATGTGTTAATTTACGATATTGTTCGCGGTTTATTTTAAACCTGAATATTATACACCTAAGAAGCAATTTTGCTATTGAAGATTGATTATTACACAGGGTTGATAAAATTCTTACGCAACTCTCGAACTGTGTGTGTGCTTTTTTAACTTGTTCGGGGTTTAAAAAGAAATACAGCTCGTGCTATATTCCACATTCCCCTGAAGTAAACATGTAAAGTCCAACTTCGGAATACATAAGTTGCATACCATCATATGGACTTTATGGAGGATCGATGTCATCGTAAGCGTATGCAAGAGAGGCAACACTTCGATTTAAAATTGAGAGATTTTAATTCCTTCCTACCCTCCAATTCAGTTCATTACCAGGCTTCGGAAAACTTTTAAAGAACTATTCCTGAGAATATGCGTGAATTTTGCTTCTACAACTTATTCTGCGATGAAAAATAGGTAAATCTTTCCACCACGAAAAACCTGAAACAAAAGAGGGTACTGCTATTAAAAAAATCAAATTATACAGATTATTGATTCGTAAAGAGAATAAATCAATTTTTCGTATCTATTGTTATTAACGATCTCAAATGCCCTCTCTTCACGAAAGAGCATTTGAAAATTTCCCAAGAGGATAACCCCGATTTCCGGAATGAGTCCTATACAAAATGATTCGTGACGAGGTCATTTTTTGTCGATTGCCGTGAAATCAGAACCATTACGGCCCAATAACACTTCGGAAAACCAGCTCTTCCCTGGGTACCACGTTTAACGTCGTGGTTTCACGCGATTTTCAGGGAACGATATAAAGACACGCGGGTCCTGGGAAAATGAACGGCGAGTGCGAATATCATTCAAAGCACGAAATCTCCGAACATCATCACGAAACTGGCTTCGGGAACTTCCTGAACTGCGAATTTCTCATTGACGACCCAATATTCTCATTTGAAAATCGAAAATTTTGATGGAGAGTTCAAGGAAAATTCACTAAAATAATTTGATCAGAAATAGAGCATTTAATGAGCGCTTATGTACTGAAAATTAGAAATTTCGGGAGGGAACCAACTGAAGGGCGTGGATTTCAAGATTCTATCACGCTTGTGTTTTCTTGAGGATCTGCAGATGCTCCGAAAACTTTTGGGTTTTTTGCTGGGATGCGAAAATTGAGAATTGAGGAAATCTCACATCATAGTAGATTTGCATATGTTTAACTATGAGATATAGTGTTCCGCAATGCGCATCATATATTCAAGGAATCTATACTCTATAGACTAGAGTGAAATCGGAATAAATCACTGTTCTGCTCCAGGGAAAAAAATGCTTAATTCATCATGAAACTTTTCAACCATTGAAGCACTCGATTTATTTTACGTAATCGTCATCGCTGAACCACTTCATATATTACTCCTATAAAGCTATAATGTCTTATATAATCGTCAGAAGACATTATCAACTACTGCGCTGTAATTTTTTATGAATGAATGCACACCTTCCTGCTGGTGAGATTAAGAGCGCCTAGCGCCTAAATTGGCTGGAAACTGAATTTTTCTCTAGTAATTCGACTGAAATAAGCATGGATCTCACAGTGCAATCTCGTGCCCTTGATATAACGTGATGTCTCTTAAGCTTTCGAAAATATTCTGTTTTTCCTCTAGTAGATGTCATCGAGGTATGAATTCCTCAAGCCAACACGAATCTAGTGCTAAAAAAAAAAACATTACATAACTCCGAAGTTGATGAAAAATATTTTGCCGGGCAGAACACGAAGAACGGATTATATTTTTATTATTAAAGCAAAATCACGGACGACTCTCTCGGATTCAAAACGAACCCTTTCTTCAGAAATTAAAGGACCGAGTGTGTTCTAGAAAATATAACTACATCGATTATGAGACGCGTGCTTTCATTTTTGGCGTGTGAATGTCAGTCACGCTTTCGTTGCGTAAGATAAATCAAAATAGGAGGAATAACTCAAATTTAAAGGTTTCTGTTACTACTGAATGGATCTCCTCGAAAGCTTTGAACGCATGAAGGATTACGTAATGTGCTAATTATTTTATGAATTTAATTTTTGGCTTCATATTATATTCAGAAGATGGTGGCTGTCATCCGTTTTATCATCCACGCAATTTATTCTTATACTGTATCTGAAAAACCATCATCTGAACACATTACAGAGAGAAAGAGGAACTTCTTATACAATCAACCCACGATTTAGTGCCAAATCCCTTGATGCCACAGAAATGTTCTGTCCCTAATAATAAACAATAGACCAAATCAGAAAAACGAAGGCATTTTTCTAGGGATATCATTACGTTAATACTGAAAATCACGTGCCCGTGCTTGGGATAATTTTGAAAACTGAATTTACATTTAATTGAGTGGTATTATTCAGGTGTTTTTCATGCCAAAGACAATCTCAATAAATCTGATGATCTCTTTAAAGAAATTCGAAATTACACCACCTGATCTCGGAATTAAGCTGTCATTAAAAGATTGACACAAAACGGCAAGAAACAGCGCCACTCTTTTACTTGCCCCAACTGTGCAAAAATGTGACATATTTTATACCATTACATGAACTGAAATGATAAAGTAGAAAAAAGATAAGTTGAGCCTCGAATTATTTCCTATGTGGCTTCTTCATTTACTAAATGGATTCAATGACTTTACAATTCGGCAACAACAACAACAAAAAACCTATTTTACCCAAATTAGAAGCCCTCAACTAAATTTTCCTTATAGATGCAATTCCTCCAATTTAGTGCTACAAAATTTGCCAGGACAAATGAGAGCTTCAAATCGGGGTTTTGGAACTGTATTCAAATCGATGCATATAAAGTGGCCGAAATTACCTGAGGGGGTCCAGGAAACCTCTGGTTGTCGGCAGACGAACCCTGGGCACCGACTAGCATCAAATCTGCAAACCACTCAGCCCAAGTCACCTTCCGCACGAAATTCCGTGCAACCCAATAATCAATGCCATAAGTCAGAAACCCGCAAGCTGTCGTTGCAACAAGGCTCAAGAGCCAGGGTTCCAACCGACACACATCTTCCTCCTCATCCACTTCCTCATCCTTTGTCAATGTCGCATTCTTCTCGCAAGCTTCTTCTTCTTCCTCCTCTTCGTCGTCATCATCATCGTCATCCTCCTCTTGGTATTCGCTAATTCCAACTGGTGCCGTGACGAGCAAGGGAATCGATTTTTCTGTCTGTCGGCAAACATGCAAAGAATTCACGGCGTCCGCAAAAGAAACAGCTGGACACGTGGCTACAGATACTGGACTCGGGACAATAACGCGTTTCTGCCGAACGTCATCGTCGTCCTCATCCACGGCATCGTCTTCATAGTAGTCAAAGTCGTCGGCGAAATAATCCTGCGACAATTTTCGCTCCTCGGCGGCGGAGAGAAAATCGACGCGGGTCCGCCACTCCTTCGAGCAGCTCCTGAGCCCACGGCGCCCCAAATAAAGCGTCATGAAGAGCATCAAAACGGCGGCGACGACGTCGTAGCGCAGTTCCTGACTATTGGGCCGGAAACTGTCCCAATAGTCGAGGAAGACGAAGGTGGTGACGAGCAAAAGGGCGCCGGCAGTTGCGACGCAAAGGCAAACTTCGAGCGTCGTGAAGTTTTCTTCCAGGGACGCCGAGAACTTGTGCTGAAGCGCCAGGAAAGTCGCGCAAGTCAACATTTGCGCACATTTGATGCACATCATCCAGCGCCTTTTCGCGCGGGTTTTCGGGTCGGGTTGCTGATGATGGGTGCTGGTGGTGGTGGCGGTCGGGCTTGCCCAGCTTGATTGTCGGTACCCGTGCTGGGACATCTTTAATAGCTTTTTTTTCTCTCCTACAACTTTTTGCTGCGACTCCGACGTGAACATGTACAAGCAGGGGCCTGTCTTGAAGATAATTTGATTACTCAACGAATTTTCATGCCTCTAACTCCGATGACTAATTCATTCATTGATTGCTTCGTGTGTGTCCGCCCAGCGACTTTCGTATCTGGCTTTCCAAAGTTTTTCTCCTATACTTTCGATGTAGTTAGAACACTGGGGTCTTGTATTAGTAGAGGTGGTTTCTTCACACATAAAGATGGTGCACCTTGACTTATTTAACATTCATTGTATTTCTCATCGATCCAAGCATCTTCTTAATTTTATCAACAATTTTAGATTTAAGGAGCATTATTTCCCGCGGCTTTCTTGTACATGATAATAAACCTTCTATGTTTTTTTGTCAAATGTACGAGTTTTGATTCTTCAGGTGAACTGTATTTCAGCCTTGAAAGCTGCAGTTTCTCTAAAGTTCGAAAATATCGTTTCGTAAATATTTTCGTTCATAAATTCTACCTTTTTTGCGTAGATAGGGCTGAAGAGGTATTAATTGGACTAAGCTGATTTATATTCAACAAATATCTTCTTTTTTTAATCACAAGGATCAGTACTGTATCAGACTTTTGGAAATACTGTAATATGGTTGAAAATAAGAATTTTGGATCAGAAATGGAGAAAAACCGCCGTTTTTCCCTCTTTCAGAAAGATATTTAATCGATGAACTGTGTTAAGAACGGGTCTGAAATTTTATGAGAGATTAAATTTCCATCAGTCAATAAAGGGGACTTCATGAGCAAACTCATTTTATTCTGACCGTTTTCCTGATTGATACTTCTTCCTATAGTTTCCCACGAATCTTTACCCTCGTTCATAAGACGTGACTCAATGAATGATTTATTTATTTTATTTTTAATTCTGCATTCTGAAGTCATCTGATCCCACATCAAGTAAAATTCATGAAAAAAGAAGGGAAGAACAAATTCCCCTTATTGGTTGATTCGAAAGATTTCCTGCTGCTGTTTTCCTAAGGAACAGGTGTTTCCTCGGCTTCTGACAGTTCCCATGGCAAATGCTTGGTTTTACCACTTATTGCTGGTCTTCGTGACTTCTTGTAATTGGGTTTATCAAGCTGACGCATATGATATCGAATTTGTGGACTATAGCTCTACGTTACCTCGAATCCACGGGCAAGTGATCTTTTAGCATCCCGATAAAATGTAGCCTTCAAACTTTGCAAAGTCACGCAAAACTCCGTAGTATACCTCGTGGATTTTTCTCATTATTATCCGTGATTCTGATTCAACTCATTGAAGTGCTACTCGTATTGGAAACCTTCGTAGGCACACCGTCATCAGGACAGTGCTGGAAAATGCTGAAAAGAAATTCGAGCTCATGAAGACGTTGAATATCTCGAAGTGTTTCGACGATGTCGATTCGAAGGACAAAGTGGAGGAGATTCACTGGTGGCATGACCCAAGAAGACCTCATCCTGAAGACTCAATTGAAACTGGAAATCATCACATGGATATATTTGCGTCTCCCAGAAAAGCCAAGGAAATTCAGACTTTGTTGAAGCGAAGCAATTTGACCGCCGTGACATTGATAGATGATGTCCATAGGTAAGATTGAACAGTACTTACAGTTACACATCAGTGCATACGTTTACATATCAGTTCCGTATTGTCCATGATTTTATTCATCATTAATCCAAAATTTTCAAGCAATAGCCGATGGAAATTCATTCCATTATTGTAATCAATCCTCCGCATCCTTTTTTAAGCCTTGTTTAATGTGTAGAGATGGACGCACTTTCACAAAAAGATCTTGGATAGCTTCTCAAAAACCGTTCAAAAACTTTCTCATACGGGGAATGCAGTACATGTACTGTAAATAGAAAGCAAAATTACAATACTGTACATGAAACCACCGCAAAGATCGATATACTGTACAATAAGGTTATCTGACGGAATGTTAGTAGTAATGTAGACGTGACGTCAGCACACACACAATGTATTAGGCTCAGAATCTGATAAAAGATGCAGTTCAGAAATTTTAGAATAACTTCTTCGTATGCAGCGTTACGTATAAGAAAGGTTTCTATATCGAGAGTCGTACTGCTGGTACTTAGACGTGATTTTATAATTTTATTGTGTTTCTGATGAGGAGGAGAACTAGAGTACTATACTTTATAATGTACTCACGCATACACTCTTTAATAGATTCCAAGTGCTAAAAAATGTGTCAAATAATAAAATGCCATTAGTGGTCGATTCACATTATCCTATTTTACGTTGGAAAATATGAGGGCGTCAATTTTTGTGTTATTGCAGCGAAATATGAAAATGTATCCATAATTTCAAGTTGTGAACAAGAAGTTAACCGATTTAGAGCACACCTTGAGAAAATGGCTGAGGAAATCATAGAAGACTTGTTTTCAATTTCCATTTATCCCAGAAAGATCAGAAAAAATTTGACGACGTTGTGATCACCAAAATGTATCCAATCCAGCTATGTATCCAACAAGCATGCGTAAATTGCCATGGATTGTAGTGATTATATGAGTGTTTTCAAATTTACTTCATTTCTCTGCATTTGAATGGAATAATTACCAGGCTCTTCAAGCGAGGAATGCCGAAGAAACGACGACGATCCAATCGGATGACTTGGACAAATTATCAATCCGCTGCTACTGTGAATAATTTTTAAATATTCGAGATTTTTCGCAATGGAAATATATTCATATTTTTCTTTCAAGATTAATATAAAAATATTCTTTCAAGATTAACAGATTCTTGGACCTGGTCGCAAAAAAAGTGCCTCACGCGACTACTGAAGTTATTGGAAAAACAGCGGAAGGAAGAGAACTGAAAGTCCTCAAACTGAACACAAACAACGCTGCTAAAGCTTTTTGGATTGATGGCGGTATACGTTGAAGATTCCGAATTTTGAATGTTGAGAAAAAATGCGTACATATTTTGTGTTCCCTGCAGGAATTCACGCCAGAGAATGGATAAGTCCGGCTGTCGTCACTTTCATTATCAAGGAATTCGTCAGCAATTATTCCAGACATAAAACTGTCATTGATTCGTACCAATGGTATTTCCTACCACTCATGAATCCCGATGGGTACGAATACTCGAGGACAAAAGTGAGTTTCATTCATTTATTAGGAAATTTTTTTGCGACTCAAATTCTGCGTTTTGCATAGGATCGAATGTGGAGAAAAACCAGGTCGCCTTCTTTGAGGAAAGGCGGATGCGTCGGTGTCGATGCCAATAGGAACTGGAACCACAAATGGATGGGTGACACCTATGAAATACACTGTGAGAACTCGTCATGAATCTAGATACTGTTTTCGCAGTTGTCGGTGCTTCACAGGATACCTGCTCGGAGGTTTATGCCGGTCCTTACCCTGAATCGGAAAAATGTGTTGTGGCTGTTCGAGATTACGTGTTGAAGAAACTAAAGCCGAGGAAAGACGTGCAGCTCGTTGCCTTCTACACGTTCCATTCCTATTACCAGGGATGGATGTCTCCCTGGGGCTGGACTTACGCAACGCCGCAACGTCACGATGAACTAGTGAATGCTGTCTCTCAACGTTATCCCCCGTTAAAATCAGTAAAGAAGCAGGATAATGAGAGCATTTGCTGCTGTTGCATAAATGAGAAACAAATCATGGAGAATCGAAGATATAGGGGCTCAAGTCCTGTAAGCTGAAATGCTGAAGCCCGCAGAGTATCTTCTGAAGGAAAGACTTCGAACTTTATTTTATGAGATCATGCCTTTTTTTCTGAGCGTGAACATGTGTAACCATAATATAATGCTCTAATATCAAATTCAGACAATACGGGCTGTTTATGCCAAATTTTGTCGCCGAATTTATAACTGAGCAAATGTTTATTCTGCTTCGTCTTCACTCTCCAATAGGTTTTTCTGTTTCTCTCTCCGCCAATTTGAAAACAATTTTGAAATATTTCAAGATATTTCCCATGCAGCCCTTGAATGCGGTAAACTTATTTTCTTTTAATTGCTTTTGGCATACTTTTTAAAGTCACGTTAAACTAGGGCAGACTCCTCGTTCGTGGATGCCTTCAACCGATTCAAGACATTTTATGATCACTTGGTTCCAGTTTTTTTATTGCACTGACTCATTTTTACGCAGATGGAACCCCAGAATTTTATGACATTCCATAATGGAGTCAATATAATTGAGCTAATAACTTGTGTCTGTCATTTTCGTTGTGATTAATTCATTCGATCAGGAGACATTAACGTCTCAAAATATGTCTAGTTTCGAGTTCAACTTGCATTAGATTATTTTCAAAGTTCGTCTCATGCCCACTTAAAATTAACATTAGAGACTACATGGCCTATATATTAAGGTGTCAGCGTGTACAGTAAGAGCATCAAAACGCATTCTTCTCGGCTTTAAAACAAATGTACTCCTCTTCACCCAAAATGCCATAAAAATAGAGAAGCAAGTCCAGTACCACTAGTACGACTCTCGGGGAACCTTTCTTACATTGCTGCATTTGAAGAGTTTAATCTCAAATTTCTAAACTGCATCTTTTATCAGATTCGAGTAGCGAAGGCGGGAGTGAACGCGATCAAACGGGTCTCCGGGAATGTGTTTGTTACCGGAACTGCAGGAAGTTTAAGTAAGTCTTCAACGTACACACTGCTGTACTTTTTATCGCAACATACAGTACAATACTTGTTTAAAAATTTATCAAGAAAATTTGGGAACATTATGAAAATATATTTTTTTTCAAATGCCTTGACTTCCTTCCAGCTGGGAAAGCTTCAGGAGCATCGGACGACTGGGCTTTCGGGGTTGCAAAAATCCCGTTTGTGTACACGATTGAACTGAGGGACAGGGGACGTTACAAATTCGTACTTCCGGCTCGCCAAATTCAGCCCAGCGGCGTCGAAATGGTAGCTGGGGTCGAGGCATCTGCGTTGGAAATTTTGAAAATTTTGAGATAATTTTCCATTTTAATTCAAGGCAGGAAATTAGCTTTAAACGTTTCCAACCATAATTTTGTTCATTTTGCAACTTCTCTCATTCTAATTCGCGTCTGAGAAAGGAGAATACGATTCATTTCTCTTTTTTTTGGCAAATCGTTCCTGGCATATCTGCTCCTTGTGCAAAGGCTTGACTCATTATTCTGAATCTTCTTTCCAAAAATCTCCATTATTTATATTTTTTTCACTGGCCATTGAAAAAATATAACTTAAATGAATGAGCTCTTTTAGTCGTTGAGGAAAAGGCATCCGCAGTAAATTATTTGTGAATAAATTTCCACAGCCAAAAATGATTATAACTTATCATTTTATAAAAGCTTTCGAGTAATTTTTTTCACTCCATTCTTTTGCCTCTTTAAAATTTAGTTTTCTTGGATAATTTACCTGCATTTGCTCTCAATGTTTTCCTTCGCGAGCTGCACAATCTTGAGCCTTCTTGTAGTGTGGATAAAACTTGAACGACATGTACTTTTGCCTTTTCTTTGATTTAATTGCAGTATTTCACAGAGAAATCATCTTCATCAAAGCCGTATGATACATTGGCAAAACGAGAAAATTATTTTGAGCCTTTATCATTGTCTCGATTCGCAGTGACATCATTTTTTAAATGTGAGATTTCTTTAAAATTCGTCATTGAATCTTTGCACTTCGGGGGAAAAAATCGTGGAAGTTTCTCATTGAACCGATACAACTGCCGAGAATGTTTCTTGTTATGCTTTTTTCCCCCGAAAACGCAAGCCTAAACTAGCTCGTATTTTCATTTTTAAACTATGAAATCTTTTTTTATGTCTGAATATTATCGGACAACATCGGGAAATTCGCCATCTCGTATACAGATGTAAATCAGAATATAGCATGAGAGTGAACGCCATCATGACTTTAAAAGGATTCAATCTCCATCATTTGCCGACAGTTGAATTTCTTCATTTCCATCGTCATCTAATTCATTTTTTTATAATGGTGTGTCCGACCATCATTCTTTCGAGCAGGTGCCCATCTGGTTCTTTTTTATGCCCTCGAGGCATTAATCGCGTGATATATATATTTTTTTCGGACGGTTCAGTTTTAATGCTCGGATCCCATCAGTGAGAAGTTATAAACCAAAGGAAATGGGGACATAGAATCTCTTCCTGGTTGATCCTTGACATTTTTCCTGGTGACTTCCTTCTTTACTGAAGCTTCCATGACTAATACTCGGTCGTCTCACGTGTTGGTTTTCCTGACTGTTTTTCAATGGTCGTGTCACACTGACGTCACAGCAGGATTCGAATACGTCGAATATGACTCAACGTTGCCTCGGATTCATGGGCAAGTAGGCTCTGCATTCGACCAAAACACAACTGCTTTAACAGAAAATTAATCGCGAAAGCTCGAATTCGGAATTGATGCATCAAAGTGAAACTCGTGTTGGAAACTTTTGTAGATACACCGTCATCAGGACAGTGTTGGACAGTGCTGAAAAGAAATTGGAGCTCATGAAGACGTTGAATATCTCGAAAAGTTTCGACGAAGTCGATTCGAAGGACAAAGTGGAAGAGATTCACTGGTGGCATGACCCAAGAAGACCCCATCCTGAAGACTCCATTGAAACTGGAAATCAGCACATGGATATATTTGCATCTCCCAGAAAAGCCAAGGAAATTCGAACTCTGTTCAATCAAAACAATTTGACCGTCGAGACACTGGTGGATGATGTCCATAGGTAAGATGAGACTAACCATACTGGTCAATTCAGTTCAGTGTAAATATTTTACTACAGTATTTAAAACATTATCAGGCTGTTCAAGCGAGGGGCATTCAGAAAACGACGACAAACAATGCAGATGAGTTGGACAGAGTATCATTCCGCCGACACGGTAAAAAAAATAATTCCATGAAAACGTTTTGATCGTCTTTCAACTGAAAAAAGCACACATTTTTCATCGGAAAGATCAACAAATTCCTGGACGACGTCGCCATGAAGTTTCATTACGCAACTACTGAAGTTATCGGAAGAACAGCGGAAGGAAGAGAACTCAAAGTCCTCAAACTGAACACAAACAACGCTGATAAAGCTTTTTGGATTGATGGCGGTATGTTGAAGATTCGGAATTTCGAATGTTGAGAAAAAATGCATAAATATTTTGTGTTCCGTGCAGGAATCCACGCCAGAGAATGGATAAGTCCGGCTGTCGTCACTTTCATCATTCATGAATTCGTGAACAATTATTGCAAGCATCAAGATGTCATTGATTCGTACCAATGGCATTTTCTTCCAATCGTGAATCCGGATGGATATGAATACTCTCGAACTAACGTAAGCTGATTTTTGTACATTGATCTTTCTTCGTTGATTTTTTACCTGCTCGCTATTTGGAACATATACAGTACTTTATCAAAACTGGAAATGTTTACCCACGTAGGATCGGATGTGGAGAAAAACTAGGTCATCTTCTTTGAGGAAAGGCGGATGCGTCGGTGTCGATGCCAATAGGAACTGGAACCACAAATGGATGGGTGACACCTATGAAATACGCTGTGAGAACTCGTCATGAATCTAGATACTGGTTTCGCAGTTGTCGGTGCTTCACAGGATACCTGCTCGGAGGTCTATGCCGGTCCTTACCCTGAATCGGAAAAATGTGTTGTGGCTGTTCGAGATTACGTGTTGAAGAAACTAAAGCCGAGGAAAGACGTGCAGCTCGTTGCCTTCTACACATTCCATTCCTATTACCAAGGATGGATGTCTCCTTGGGGCTGGACGGAAGAGTTGCCTGAGCGTCACAAAGAACTTGTAAATATATTTCTATAACGTGTCCTCGGATGTGAATATCTCCCATTCCACAAAATTTCGGATAAATTCTTGATATTTATGCGATCGCCGATCTTCATGACGAGAAAGTAGCATACAGTATTTGTCTCTCAGTATCATGAAGTCATCACGGAAAGTCGATAGGTATTATCGAGAATTTATATGCAACAGCTTTGGAGTTTTCGTTATTCCCAATCCGAAGGAGAAATAAAAACATGCCTTAGTTTCAACTGCTCTGATGAAGGTGGCATTTTTAGGACATTCTTCGTTTATCGAGCACAGTACTGTATTAAGGATATTTCGAATGTTTTTCCTGATACTTTCGTTATGTAGTTCAACGATTATTACTGTATTCATTTTCCCATTCGTATTTGAAGAAAGACTCTCTTTCTCTCCTTCGCTAACAAAATAAAGTGACCATAAAAAATCCGTTTTAGATTGAATTTCGATTAAGAGATCCCCTTGTTAGGCAAGAGCGCCACCATTGATGAATGTACTTTCGCAGTATTCATTTACTCTTTCAATCCAGCTTGAACACTAATTTATATTGAGGCAACATCTGTCCCCAATACCCCAATAACATGAGAAGAGAACCCCAAGGGACCAATAAATATTTCTTATGCAGATAAAATTGTTGTAGATGAGATCATTGTATAGAGATAATCCACCTGTTTCAAGACCAGTGCGATTTTGAGAAACCCAGCTCACTGAAATTCCAGGAATTGTATCTTGTGTTTTTAAAATGTCTTCCGCCAGATTCAAGTAGCACAGAAAGGGGTAGAAGCAGTCAAAAGTGTCTATGGAACTGAGTTTGTTACCGGAAATGCTGGAAGTTTAAGTAAGTCCCCAACATGCTGCTTCTATTGCAACTACTAACGCTGAATTCGTCATGAAAATGCAGCCAAAATGTCGTAAGGGTTTTTTTTTATAATATGCTTTAAAATGTCTTTCTCAGCTGGCACAGCTTCAGGAGCATCAGACGACTGGGCTTTCGGGGTAGCAAAAATCCCGTTCGTGTACACGATTGAACTTCGAGACAGGGGGCGATACAAATTCGTCCTCCCTGCCGATCAAATTCATCCAAGTGGCGTCGAAATGGTTGCTGGTGTCAAGGCATCTGCACTGGAAATATTAAAAATTTTGAAATAATTTTCCCGGCTGTATGCAAGGGTCGAAAACCCGGATTAAATGTAGCGAAATCGAGAATGTTTATTTTCTCACTCTTCTCGATGACGAGAGCAAATTTGAATTACCCCCTACACCATAAAAAAAAACGTCACCCAGATACGATTCATGAGAGAAAAATGCTGGAAACTGTTAAAAACGAACGCAGATAATCACACAGAATGATTTGATAGTCTAAACTGCTGTTTGCGGCTCATTCACGAGCTTAAAAAAAAAATCTACGGATCGAAGAACATATAAATCTCTCGTGTGAATGCGTGATATGGGTCAAGTTCTTTTGTCACAGTTAATCTTCGCCATATTTTTCAACAGTGCAAATGCTTTTCTTGATCCCAGATTCCCAAACGTCGTCGGGTGAGGAATGCTTGCGTACGGTACTGTAAAATCGAAAATATCAGCACGAAAACGAACATTTTTATTCCTGAGCACAGTTATCTAGTTGTCAGGACAACTGTCGACACTTCCAATGAAATGGCTGCTTTGGTAAAGAAGCTGAATATAACGTCCAGTCTAGAAGACATGACATCTAGGCACGTTATTGGGAAGGTTCATTTTTGGAAAACGCCGAAGAAAATTGGCAGACGGCAGGGGAATATCGACATTCTGGTTTCACCTGGAGAATTCGAGAGGATCAAGAAAGTCGTGGAAGATTCCGGAAAAAGCTTGTCCATATTGCACCATAACGCTTACGAGTAAATATCATTATGTCAAATATTTTAATGAATTGACTGTCCTGACTTTAGGTTGTTCAGATTATTCGAGAATTCAGCTTCTCGGCAAACCCGTTCGGAAGCAATTTTGAACATGACTTGGACTGACTACCATAGTTACAACACTGTGAGTGAATTGCTTATACACATTTTATGTGCATACGAGGGTTGTTTCACAAGTTTTGAGAACTTTCAAAATTTCGTTAACGATACGGACGTCATTTTTACAGGCTGATAATTTTTACCTTGGCCAATTTTCTAAATGTGCGTGCACCCAGGTTAAAAAAATGAATGTTAAACAAAAGATTGAAATTGTATCTTAAAGACTGTCCATAAAAGGATATAATGTAGATCATAGACACATGTTGCTATTTCAAGAGGCTGTCCAAGCCTCTATAGGCTAGGTATACTCCGTCTCTATATATGGGGTGCGAATAATTTTTTTTTTTTTTAAGTTGCTCTCAGGATTTGTCAAAATTTGTGAAATCTATGCTGCATGAAAGAAGCTGTCGGACCACGCAGTAATCTTTCATGTCAATGTTGTTAAATGGGAAGGTTCGCAAGCAATATTTTTGAAAAAGCAAGAAATTAATGAATCAGTATGGACATCATTTTTGGAAAAGGCTTTTTTAAAGAATAATAAAAACTTTTCTTTGGTCGTTTTACTGAATCTTCGCAGCTTTGGAAGACAATTTGGCTCATAAACTAGGGGTTCCTAAAGATTTCTGTTTTACAATTCTTAGACAGCATTTTGACTGTGCATTTCACCTTTCGATGTTCTGTAGATTACAGGATTCCTCGAAAATATAGCAGCCAAAAACAAGTTCGCCTCAATCCACTCAATTGGAAAAACGTTCGAAAACCGTGAGATGAAGGTCCTTGAGATCAACACTGCTAATGCGCAAAAAGGATTCTGGATTGATGGAGGTTGGCAAAAACAATTTTGAAAATTTAGCCAAATTGAGTGAAACTTTTTAAAAATTAGATTCAATATTATATATTCAGGCATTCACGCTCGTGAATGGATAAGTCCGGCCGTGGTTACATTCATCGTGAACGAATTCGTAAACAACTACGAAAAGCACAAAGACGTCGTCGACGCATTCCGTTGGTTCATCCTTCCTGTGGCAAATCCGGATGGCTACGAATATTCCCGTGCAGAAGTAAGGTTCCTTATTGCTTCATTTGAATTTCCAAAATATCATTCAATGTATAGTTTTTTCATGAGGATCGATTGTGGCGAAAGACGAGGTCAGTGAGACCTGGAGTAAATTGCGTCGGCGTCGATCCCAACAGAAACTTCCCATATAAATGGATGGGTGAGTGCGTGATGAAAAATCGGTTTCAATCAAATTTTACTTTTGCAAAAGCCGGATTGAATTCAATTTTCGAATGCGTTCGAATTTTTTTTTCTTTTCGGGAACAATCGAGAAGTTGCTGGATTTAATGACGACGTGTGTTCGCCGATTTATGCTGGACCCAATTCCGCGTCCGAGAAATGCGTGCAAAATATCATGAGTTTCGTCATGCAGAAACTTCAAGCCGAATCTTCGCCCAGCAAACTCGTGGCTTTTTACATTTTCCACTCCTATTCCGAAGTATGGTTGTCACCATGGGGCTGGACTGACGAATTGCCAACCTCATACAGCGATTTGGTAAGTTTCATAGACTGTATAAGTTTTAAATAGAAAAGCTACCTTTTCACAAAATGCCCAGCACACGCTTGAATTCAAAAGTAGGCTAAAATTACGAAAATTGAAGGAATCTCGAATAACAGCGAGTTCGCGATAAAATTAAGGAAAATAATCAACTTTTTGACACTCTTTATCCCCTGAATTTACCTTGCGCAAATTTTGAAAAATTACTAAATATTATTTGGCGATTGAGCCCACTGGCTTGGAGGGCAGCTTTGCATCCCACTGTACCATTGAAGTTCTTCATCAACAGTATGTACCGGGAAAATGCTAATTTTGCAGCGATGTGATCAATCAAACTTGATGATTATTTTAAATTTATAAAATATTTACACGCGTAGATGAGAGTTGCTGCAGCTGGAACAGCAGCAATCAAAGAAGTTTACGGGACTGTTTTTGAACATGGAACTTCAGCTCAAATTCTGCGTGAGTTTATTTTTATTTTTTTCACAAAAATGAGCTGAACCTAAATATTCACGATTCCGCTAATTTTTCTCAGTCACATAAGACTTATATTTAGCATGAAGAAAGTTAATCCTAATCAATGAAGAATGTACAGCAGGCCTTCAGAAATTTATAAAAACGAGGAAGCTGTTTTTAGTACAAAGGAAAAAGTTACTGATGATGGTTCAAGGCTGAAACAGTTTCATTTTCTTGTGAAACATGAAGACTTTAAAAAATAGAATTTTTCTACTTTGTGTAGAACAGTATTCTGGATAGACTTTACGTTCCCCCTTTGATTATTTTTCCCAATTGCGTTATAAAATGCAATAAAGTATGAAACTATTTTTAAACCAAAAATATGCCCTGAAACATTTTGTGCTTCGATTTTTCTTTGTACATCTCCCCCATTACAAGTTACAGCAGCACTGGAAAATTATCTGTTTGATTTAATGCAATGATGAATCAGAGGCTTTGAGAGATGCAATATGAGGCAACGCAATAATTGAAAAAAGTTTCATTTTGCCAACCGAGCCGGAGTACGACCCACCATTGAATAGTTTAACCCAGAACCTAACTAAGATAACCAAATTTTTCATTTTGAACAACAGCTCAAACGTTGAGTAGGAGACAATTTTCGGCTCGAAACGGGCTTAACTCTATTTTGAATCAACTTGAGTTCGACGGGATCATCCTTTCATTCCAGAAGAGAAAGCTTAAAAATCGAAGTTGATGGACAGGCAGTCACAAAGTATATATCACACTCGTCAGTGTTGTTGATCACTTAGTTTATCTTCAACAGTTACCCAACCTCTATTTTGTTGAATCCTTTCTCGATGATGGTTCAATTTACAATTATGTAATGTAGCTCCGCTCGTCAGTGGCGCCGGAGATGACTGGGCTTACGGAGACGCCAAGGTTCCATTCGTCTACACCATAGAATTAAGGGACAAGGGAATTCACGGGTTTCTTTTGCCGCCGGATCAAATCGTCGCAAGCGGAGAGGAAATGCTCGCAGGCGTCAAAGCATCCGCACGAGAGATACTAAATATCCTCCAGGAAAATCGAAAACCATGACCAAAAAAAATACTGTATGCATTTGAAAAGGGAATAAAATATTTTTAATCCCGTGTGAGCATCAGCGTGCTCAAGACAACACAAGAACAAGGAACTATACTTCGATCATTAGACAATTATTTTTATTACTTGCCCTCAAGCGAAACGACACATAATTCGGTAGACGATGCATCTTCCCCAGCACTGGTTATTATTACGATACCTTTCGTCGAAAAAAAAAAACACACACACACACGCTATGCTTTTTGTTTGTCAGCATATACTTTGGCCAGTCTTCGGTGTTTTGGCGTTAGTTTTCGTCGAACAAAAAACAAAGAAGAAATTCGTGGCAACCGCGGGGAATTTTTCAATGAATATAAGAAGGAAACAGTAGAGGAAGGAAAATAAAGACTGCTGTTGTTTCAGCGTTAATTTTCGACAGCAATCATATTGCGCATCAATTCGCGATATGACGTTAAAGCTCGTGCAAAATTCAGGGTCACAAATTTTGTTCTGCGTTTCATATAGTGCTGAAATCAAACCGAAAATGTACAATGGGTCAGCTATTTTTCGTTTTGTCCACAACAATTCAAAAAATTAGTTGAAAAAAAAAACGTGAAACCCAGATTTATTCTGGCTTTGATAACTCACACCCAAAATGTTATTCGTTGAGAATAAAGAAAGAGGCTTTTACTCTTTTATTTTGGGCCGCTTTATAATTATCTGGTGAACTCATTTTCCAGGCTAATGCAATAAAACTAAAAGTGTCTGCTGAGTAAGAACTAAGAATAAGTGGCAACGAGAAACTTTCCAGGCAAGAGTGCTTAATCGAGGTTCTCAAAAGAAGTTCATTTGAATTCATGCTTATTCCGAGTGAATGTAAAGAATATACAGTACTCTACTTTATTTCTGTGAATTCAATTCAATGCAATTTCGAAATTTTTAACTCTCTTATTATCAACCTATCCAGAGAAGAACCCTGACAAATAAAAGTGTGATTTTTCGGAACGGTGCCACCATGATTTTGTTTCAAACATAAAACTTGTTATTGTGCAAACTCCGGCGTTCTTGTCCCGTTTCCGAACGTCTTTCGCAAAGTAAATGACATTCCCTTTTTTCTCACTTTGAATACCGAGTGCGGTAGTAAGTGCGAGGAATTACAGAGCTGACAGGGTCGCCGTAATCCCGCACTCTGGTGGTCGTAGTAGTCGCATTCAATCCCGGGATGATCGGCTTAGTCTCAGTCCTGGTCTCTATTGTGTACCCAGTCACTCCACCGCTGGTCGGGCTGCGATAGGAAGTGGAGTAATTCCGGTAAGACGGACTCGACGAGGAGTATCTTGACACGGAAGAAGGAAGATCCGGTCTGCGTGTGGATGAATTGGTGCTGGAGGTGTATGAGTACGTGGAACCGCGTTCCGTTTCTGTTGGAACCTTGTCGTAGGACGATCGATAAACCGTTTCATATTCTCTTCTTGAAGAAGACATGCTTACTAGTGACCTGTGTCAAGGGGATGTGTGGAATTAGCACGTCTCAACACCTGCATATCACACATATATGTACGAACAATATTTTTGACGCATGCAGTCGAACCTCAGTAAGTCGAATTTTAAGGGTAAAAAAACATGACTTACGGAGGTTTCGAGTTATACGGAAACAAGCATTTTTGTGTGGAGAAGATATGAAAATTACAGGAAATTGCAATTGGTGATATATTCTAAGCCTTGATAAATTGCTTCTTAAATGAGTTATTGGAAGGATGCTGAACTTATGGAGGCAAATATTTATTTTCCCAATTAATCTTACATTCCCTTTTTGAACGCATCAAATTACAATTGTATTGCTTTTCTCTTCCTGTTGTCAATAAAACAACAGCCAAAATATCGTCAGAAACTTCTAGGTACTGAGGTTAGGTCTGAGTAGGAAAGCCTTTGAGTTGGAAAGGTTTTCAATTCATTGTTTTTAGGGAATTCAGATGACAGGGACTTGAAACAAATTCGACTTTTAGGGAGGTATGAGGTTTCGAGGTTCAATTGTATTCACAAACATATTGTAATTGTTGAGCTTTTAATCAAAAATAGCATCGATGCCTCAGTTCAGTATATATATAACACTTTCCTATCGCCTTTTCTTCAAAATTCATGGCGTCATGTCTTAGCTAATCATGAGATGTCTCCTTCTTCACGATAACTTGACTTGGACAAATATTTGTATTGTGATGCCACTATATGAGCCATGTACGTACAACAGTCAACTTTGTACATAATTCAAAACATATTGCGACGCATTAAAGTTCCCAAAATTGTCACTTATTCCAGAGGTTTTAAATTATTTCGTATCCTCTGTGTCGGAATTTTCAGTTTTGCTTTATGAAAATTCCTACTTGATTAGGAATCCCAGTTAAATAATATCCGAGGCAAAAAAAATTTATTGATTTAAAATTTACCAAATATTTTAAAGAGGAGGGATTTCATCTGTTCGAGAGATCCGGCTTTGTTAAAAATTAATTAATCACTTTTCCTCGTCCATCTCGAACAGAAACGGAGTATGCGAAGAAAACATGAAGCTCCTCATTATACTTATTTCGCTGCAAAAAAAATGGAGATTTGCAACGAAAGAATCCAAATTTCACGTTCTGCTCACCTAACAGTTCTTCAATCGATGACTGGAAAAAAACTTGATGGAAACACCAATCCGATGTAGCCCACTTTTCAGCGTGTCACTTCGGAAAATTTATTTTTCCTGGAATGAAAACATTCGCAGCAAGTGTCCCACACACACACCACATATACAGAAATTTTTGCCACCATAAATCCCAGTACACAACTGAATTTTCAGCTCAATTTTGGTAAAATGGCTGATCCGGGTGTTTTTTTTCTAAGTATATTCTCTTGATTGTTAATGTTCTGAAATCTTTTTGTACAGCCTTGTTCGTTTTGATTTAACATGAGTTTAAAAACTTACTCTTACATAGGTACGTGATATGACATGTAAGATTATTATTATTCTTTATAGGACGTAGTTCCTGAATGAACTTACAGACTTCTCGATAGTAATGGTAGAAATCAGAAATTCAAAAAATCATATCACTTCAAACAAAAGAACAGAAAAACATTGAAAAACCCCTGTATATCCATTACTGTAATCGAATATCGCAGATCACAGCACACCTTGAGAACGTCAGGTGTCAAACGATACCCGGAACCCTTGCCAGAATCGTCTCCAGAGAAACAGATCTGGCCAAAAATAACCAACTCAGGAAAGCTACTCAAGCAAAAAGATCCCCCAGAATATAAGGAAAATCACTCCTTTGCAAAAATCATCCTTTCAAAAAGCACCGATATTAGCATATGTTGCTTAATAAAATAAAATTTCCTTCGCGAACTACACGAAAGAGAAAAGCACCCATCGACGCAATGTTTTACTCGAAAAAGTTATTGTGAACAAGTAAATGTTCGTGTATTCTTCTTTCCCTTCCGCCTACAATTTGAGTTGGCTTGAAAATCCCGGTCTCTAAAAAGTCTAAATGTCAATAACAAATTTATGAAGTCATGTCAATCTCTACGCATTATATAAGACTGCAATATTCGTTTGCAAATGTACATGTCACTGGAAGATCGTTCTCTCTTCTAAATGCCTCGATTACCCCATTTTCAAAAAAATATTTTTTTCACCAACAAAAAAAAAAAGTTTAAAAAAGATTTGCGGCGGGTTTTCCCTTATCGTGCCCCAATACGAACATGTTAAACCACCGACCATTAATAATTCAATTAGCCATGCGTCAAACTATAATTACTCGTCTCATATCCATTTAAAAACCATCCATTGCGCAATTAACACGACGCAGAAACACTTTCTAAACGCAAGAATGCAGATATCTTTCTCACGGCTCTGCATGCAACTACGCACCTCATCCTAGCTGTAGTCGGAAACCCCCTCGCGAATGGGAAGTTCTGTATATAGGAGCAGGAAGCGTATTTGAAAAAAAAAAGGAAATAAAAAAGACGAAATTTTCCTTCACCGCCATTCCGATGATTCAGACTGGAGCTATTTTCGCCGTCACCCAGAAATACTTCCGCCTCGGATGCCGGAAACGCCGTCTTCACGATCCGGTACGAGAAGAGCTGGGTCGCGTGTTTTTCCCTCGCTCCATCTGGCAAACTTGGGTCACACATGAATCCCTCACATTACAGCCCCCACCCATGCAACGATTACCGCATTTATTTGACCATCAAACGTCATCAGTTGAGGAAACACTTTAGATACAGTATCACCTTCATGAATTTCAAACATTTCCAATATGCAGTACACTTCTCGAGATTTAAGTATGTTGTCGGCAAATGTAGATCGATGTGAGGCTTTGTATTTTATTGAATTCCCGGGTAAAGTTTTAGTTTTGGAATATTCTCGGTCAGAAGCAGTCATGAACTTGACTTGTAGATTGATGACACCCTGCTGATTGCGTGAACGCCCTCAAATATGGGACGACAACTGATTTTCAACAAGTCCCGATTTATTTTCCTCGTTAGAAAAGAAAAATAAATCGGTTTATATTCGAGGTTAAAGCATAACGGATGAACATCCGTGATCATATAATTCCTTGCAAGCCACTGATTTATGAGCTGAATGGTTTTTTTATTGTTCATGTAGTTAGTTCATCGATGGATGCATCGTTTCAAGTTTTATTCTCTCCTGGATCACTCATAATCTTTTCTCCAGGGCATGTTTTTTACTGGACATGTTACTTATATAATATAGTGCTGTATAAAACAGGCGAATGGGCTCACACTGTGAAGACTGACGAAATATTCTGTCGGTCAAGAATACGCCTTACAGAACATTTTGAACACAGCTCAAATTGAAGTCAGCCTTCTTTCTAAAATTTTTTTGTGTAGCATTTACACATTTTGCTTGGAAATTTAATCTTATGCAGAAGATATCAGAAAATCTTGGATGAAAACATTTTAATGCATGAACATTATACATTTTGGAAATATATAGCCATTCATCCGGACGGAAAATCATTGTGCTGACATTGGTGCAATAATAACTAGGACTTCGATTATAATGTACTGTAGTTTAAAGCAGACTGTGGAACATGCGTAATCCGTAAGAAATAAATACTGCAGCTTACATCATTGAACCTGAAATTCAGTCTTTTCTTCGGCCACTAGCTGAAGTCAAACCTTTTCTTTCGATCGGTGCACGGATGATATTCAAAATTGCAGTGCTGCAAGCACAACTGCTTTTGGCGAAAAACCGGGAAACCATGGCGTTCAAATTTTTTGAAGCTTGCAGTGACACCTAGCTTTTCTTTTAAAGTTGATCAACTGAACCTGATCTCAGCAGCAAACAGGGTCACTGTTAGTTTTGCTAAAAAAGAAATTACTCCTCCTCTCTCATAGCCAGCAGCAGAATTGCTACAGCTAGCATTGAAAAGTTGCTTTCGTGTTATTCGAGGCCTGGCAGTTGCATTTGGTAAACTAGTAAAATTGCCTCATGAAAAATATGAAGAACAGAAAAACAATTTAAAGTACAGTACTGTATATCCAGAAAATAACAAAGTTGCAAGCGTTTTTGTGATTTACCGAACAAGCATGCCGGCATCTGAGATCGTTAAGGTTTGAAAATAAACGACTCACTTCCGTAAGAAAAAAAGTTCAATGATCTACAAAACATTTCACTGATCACAAAATCTGACATGTAAAACACAACAATTTTCATTTGATTCCTGCAAGCAAAAAAAGAAAGAATTGATCTGATAAGTCATGCATATTCCAGAGATTTGGGAAATCGCAGAATTTAAGACTGCACTGCTTATTTTTACTTCTGCTTCCACAAAGCTAAAGACTGTATTTGTTTATTTCATAATTTATTTCAGCCATGAAATTTGTTTTTCTACTGCTCGATTTGAAAAATAATAAACACACTCCTTCGGATTAAATAACATTTTCAAATAAATGTATACCTGATGCCTCAATTAAAAAATAAGATCAATATGAATTTTTCATTTTTCTGTTGCTACGGAAGAATGTGTTTCATCAATATTTTCAATCTCTATGAGTATGAAACTTCACCTGCAGGGATTAAATGAAAAGGTAACAAAAATCTCGGCATTAAACACTGAGTATAACTTCAAGCTAAAAATTCAATTAGGTTTAGCCACGAACACCCAGACACCCTGTTTTCTTGTTTTGTCATTTTCTGCATAAACAGGCAGAAGAGACAAATCTCTCTCAACTCTTGACTTTTCTGCATCCGAGACAGTTTCAGCCTCATGAACTGACTTTTTGGACTCAGTCTCCCCAGACAGTCCAGATTTCTCCTCTGACTTCTCTCCGGAATTCTTAATTGGAGCAGTTTTAGGTTCACCCAGAGTAAAGTAGTTGTACCCAGTAGGCTTCACTTCTGAAGAACTGTATAGCCCAGGTAATTTGTAAATGATCAATGGCACAGGCGCAGGTGCTGGTGGCACAGAAGTTTTTGGCTTCGAACGCGTGGATGACTTGCGCTTGGGTTCATGCTGCCGCTGTTTCTTGGGTTTGCGCTGCTTCCCCGAGGACCTGTACCTTCTGGGTCTCTTGTGCTGGGGTCTCCTCCTTGGACGTCTATGTCCACTGTGGTGGCCAAGTGGTCTGTAGTGAGGCCTCCTTGGACGGTATCTCCCGCGGGGTTCCTC